GATCACAGAAAAAGACAGAGACTGAGATCACAGACCTCCCGACGGGTAGCCACAACCAATCCTCGTGAGCCTGACCTTTGGCCGTTGATGGACTTACAGTCCCCAAGACACTTGTCCTTGGGGCATGAGGACATGCCCAGCCCCCTGGACAGTAGGAATCCTCTCAGAGCAGACAGAGTGACAGTTGCATACTGACCCTTTCTGCTTGGTGGCCATGTCTCCAAGTAAAGTTCTTCTGGTCCAGTTCCCTCCCCAAAGGGACTTTCCATTTCAGCATTGTATGGAAAATGACTCACCCCCTGAAGGGCATGACTGGGAGTCAGAGATCCATCCAGACCTAATCTGGCCACCACTGTCACCACAGGAAAGCAGGAAGTGGGCTCGATGGCTAGAGGCTTCCTCCCACAGAGGCATGGAGTGCCTCCCCTTGCCAGGACATCCAGGGCTCCTTGACAACACCAGGGAGCACAGAAGGGGGAAAGCAGGCCAGTCACAGCCCCTGTGGCCAAAAGCTTCACACACACTTGACAATGACCTGCTGTGGGGCCAGGACCTGGGGATTCTGCTGCTCTCAGCCTCCTAGGAGAGACAAACACAACTGCCATTGTTCACTCACTCCAGGCCACCACCGAGAAAGGCTGTCACCTGCACAGCCAGCCTCAGGAAGGAGAGCACCCACATGTCCCTCTGACACCAGCAGAAGCAAGCACAGGCCTGGGCAACCTGGACCCACACCCAAAGGTGATTCTCTGGGGCCCGAGCCCATACCTGGCTCAGCTGCACAGGGCAATCGTCACCTGCACAGGGGTCACATCTACCCAGTCTCCAGTCAAGGAGGTTTCTGGGATCTGGGCCTGCAAGGCACCAAGGACCCCTAAGAAGAAAGGTAGTAAATACACATGTGCTGCTCCCTGTCCCCAGGGAGAGGCCTTCTGCACCCTGAAGACGGGTTTGCCCCCAAACACCACACTTGAAGCAGCAATGGCCCTGACTCTACAGGTTCACATCACCTGACTGAACCAGAAGCCCCGACTGCAAGAACAGCTCAGATGACATTAAATGCTTCTGTCACCAAGACCTGGATATGGTCTCTAAACAGACACCCCGAATCTAGGACTGGGTCGGAGATATGTGGGTGAGTTCCCCTTGTAGTCCCAGAGAGTGAAGAAGGTTCAACACACACACGTGTACACGTGCACACAGCACAGAGACACGTGCACATATCCTCTGCACGTACACATGCACTTAGGTACAGGTACACGCACACCACAGACACAGGTATACATGCGTACCTGTGTACATATGTATGTGCGTATATGACACTTGTGCATAGACACAGACAAGACGTGTGTGTGTACGTGCATACTTGTGCACATGTTTGCACATATGTGCATGCATACACAAATACACACGCACAATGGACACCGGAAGCAACTGAAAGGGCTCCCGATGGCCAAAGCTGGAGCAGTTTGAGTAACAGGACCAGTGAAGTAGCTTTGGATTATGACCAGTATAAAATAAATGTCCATGGGTCCATATAAACAGTATGGGGCAAATCCCACGCAGGAATCCAACAAACACAGCCCAGTCCTGAAGCGTAGGTGGCCTGTCATGACCTTCCTCCCAAAGAACAGAATCTGTGATGGGGCTGGGGACAGCAGGAAACAGCAAGGGTACAGTGAGCAGCCCAAGAAGCCCTCCCTCAGCCAAGGTCCATGGCACCAGGGACGAGATGGGCAGACACACACCCCGTATTCGAGGTGACGCAAATGCACTGTATCTCTACATGACTTCTCCCAATGCACTCTAATCATGAGAGAAAGAAGAGAAACCATAATGGGGGGACTTCTATAAAACACCTGATCCGTGCTCCTCAAACCTTCCCTTAATCATCAAAGCCCAGGGAAGTCTAAGAAATTGTCCCAGCCAAGAGGAGCCTCAGGAGGCAGGGGACTGAACGTCATGTGGGATCCTCTGCTTGAGGCCAGTCCAGGCAAATAATTAGTGAGACTCCCATCTCGACAAAAAGCCAGATGTGGTGGTATGCATCTTCCAGCTACATGGGAGGCATAGGTGGATTGAGGTCCCAGGACAGCCCCAGGCAAAAACTCGAGACCCAATCTGAAAAATTACTGAAGCAAAAAAAGGGCTGGGGGGTATGGCTCCAGTTCAGTGGTAGAGCACCTCCCTAGTATACTCGAGGCCACAAGTTCAAACCCTAGTACCAACCAAAAGAAGAAAATGTACTCCAAAGCATATATTCTTTTTTTGAATATACATTACAAAATAGACCAAGAACTGATACAACGCAAGATTCCACACTGAAGGGACCAGCTTAATAAGCAAGCAAAGATGATAAGCAGCCACCTGGGGAGCTAGGGGAGCAATGCTGACACAGAAAAGCTCCCGGTCAGCGATACCATTACACACCTACTGGGCCCCGGCAAGGAACAGAAATACATAAAGCCTGGCGAAGGCAGCCATGGGAGGACAGAGATGGCCTTCTACAACTCTTGCTGGTGATACCAACTGCTTCAACCCCTTCCATGCTGATGAAAAGGAAGTCACAACCCTGATAAAAGTCAGCAGGGAGGGCTCCATTCAAAAGGGAATACCCAGTGGGGTTTCGTCCTGGAGGAGAGATCAGGTTCAACTTGACCCTAACAAGGTCAAGGGAAGATTAACAGCCAAGAAACAGGGTGCAGGCAGGGGATGGAAGATTAGCAAGAGAATCCTTGAAGACCAGGCGATCTGGGCTAGCCAGCAAAGCTGGCCACAGTGGCGGTGGGGGTGGGGGTGAGGAATCAGGTCAGATAGCCAGGGTGGTGATCACATAGGATTTTCAACTCCATAAACTACCCAGCAGGCATCTTGCTCAAGCTGACTAAATGGGCCAAGCCCAGAGCCTTGAGGACAGAGCAGAGCCTGTGAAACCAAGCAGCCTTTGCATCCTACAGCCCCTCTCATTGCAGTGCACCCCCAAGGATAGAACACAATGGGAAAGAAAGGAACAAAGTCCAGGTGCCATGGCCAATTTGGGAAGTGGAGATCAGGAAGATCAAGGATCTAGGACAGCCCAGGTAAAAAGTTAGCCAGACTCCATTTCAAGAAATAAGCCAGGCCTGGTGGCACACTTTGGTAATCCCAGCTACTCAATAAGTAGGAGAACTATATTCTGAGACCCATGAATGAGTTGCATGGCCAAAAACGGGAAAGTTACTCAAGCCCGGCTGAGGTGTCCTGAGCGTGGTAGAAGACCTTCCCTGCCAGCTCCACTCCAGGCAGGCTGGAAAAGAAACAGAATTATCCACCCAGGTGGGGGCCAACAGGAGCAAGTGCACAGTAAGAACTGGCACCCTGCTCCCACCCGCCACCAAATATGTCCACCCCATCCAGACTTGGCCTCACCCCTGGCATACAGTGTCAGCTCCTGGCTCACCTGCCTCTCCTCCTGCCCTCCTTGCCCCTGCCTGGCAGGAAGCTCGTCCTGTCCAGCCCCTGCTTAAACCCAGCAACTCTTCCAGACTTGGGATTCTATTATAACCTAGGATGAGGTCCCACTGAGTGACAGCGAACCCAAATAATAAGAACTGAAACCAGACAGAAGAGTGCTTAATTCTCCTTGGGAGCTGCACCCTGGGTTGAGCAGCCCAGCACACTCTGGGGAATCGGTCTCCTTCACTAACCCTGCCGCCCAGGGACCTCTGGGCAGCCCTGGCACTGAGGCACCAGAGGGAAGAAAATCAAAAATGAGCAAAGCTGTGCTCCAGCAAGAGGCTGGGAGCTGACACATGACCACTTCTTCCACCCCATTGGCCAGAACGTGGTCACATGGCCAAACCTCGCTGCATAGGATGCTGGGAAATGGGGTCCTCCTTCTGGGTAGCCATCTTGTTGTGGAAGAATAGATATCAGGGATAACTTGCTGACCCTGCCTAGCATAAAACCCAACCCCTCCACAGTCCACCCACCTCTCAAGCCCTGGGAACTCCCTCACTTCTATGGCTGTCCCCTCTGTGCCCAGTCCTGCTAACTTAACCTAGCAATGTCTCCCAGACTTGGCACTAGGATGAGGAGTTCAGTTATCAGCTATGATGGCAAACCCAAATGATGGGAACTAAAACAAGACAGGACCACGCCTCCACAGTAGTGGCCAGCCCACCCCCGGTACTCAACCTTCAGTACACAGACTCATCACTGAATCTGGGTACTGGGCACAGATGGGCACTGGAAAGTGTGTTCTCATGGGTCTGAGACGGCCGTGCTCTTTGTGGATCTGGGGCCATGAAGCCTAAGACACTCAGGCTTCTATAATGATGTCACATGAGTGTGGTGGCAATTGCTGGGTCTACTTTCCACAGCAGAAGTCAGCAGGAAAGTAGACCACTCCTGGCAGGTCTGTGACTCAAGAGGATTTAAACTGGCCCCTTTCTGTCTCTCCTGACATAATCTCACAGCAATTCCTTTCTGCAAAGCCTCCAGAATCCACCTCAAATCCATCAGCATCCATCGTGCCCATGGTCACCGCCTGCTCTGGGGCACCGTTGTGTCCGGCTCACCGCAGACACAGCCCCTGAAGGCCTCCCAGAATTAATTGCTGAAGAAAGGGTCCACTCTACCCCGATCCAGGTCCTCTGGGATCAGACTGAGTTGGGACAAGTGACAGGGGAGTTGCTGTGGAGGCTGGGGGTGGAGCACAGCTTTCAGATGGATGGGCCCCTTCTGTGCTCATCCTCCCTGGGGAGGACATGCAAAGATAAAGGGAGAGGAGTGAGAAGCCCGGGGGACTCTGTTGACACTAAAGGCAATCACAGGATCACGCTAGCCCGCACACCCAACTGGAGGAAGGCACAGAGTCCACGGACATGAGCTCTCTGGCTCAGGTCTGCACACCGCCCCATCTCTGAAGATGCACAGGATAAGAATCACAGCTCACCCTGGGACTTTGTTCTCTTCCAGGCATGAGCCAGCCTGTGCACCTGTCTGTCTGAGAGGCCATCATGAGACACTGGGCCGTCCTCCTCGTCCTCCTCACTGTAGCTCTGGATGCTCTCCTCACTCCAGGGGATGGGGCACCTGTCCACAGGCAGCGTCCGCAGAACAAGCTTCTCCTCGTGTCCTCCGATGGCTTCCGCTGGAACTACGATGAGGACGTGGACACTCCCAATCTGGACGCCATGGCTCGAGACGGAGTGAAAGCTCGCTACATGACCCCTGCCTTTATCACCTTGACTAGTCCCTGCCACTTCACGCTGGTCACTGGTTAGTGTCAGCCTCAGGATGGGGTCTAGGGGAGGGAGGGGCTTGAGACTTCAGGTGAAAGAGCTGGAGGAGCCCGGGTGAGGGCATAGAGCCCTACCCAGGTGACAAATGTGAGGACCTTGGAGGTCCTTGCTCCAAGAAGGGGCCCTTAGAGAATCTTCCCAATGGTGGTAACTCAGGGAGAGAAACTTAAAATTTAATGGTAACACCAGCTGGGGTGGCAAGGCATGGGACTCAGGCCGGGCTCTTTACCGGGCTCACGTTCTGCCATCCTGTGCCCCACCTCAGGCAAATACATCGAGAACCACGGGGTGGTTCACAACATGTTCTATAGCACCACCACCAAGGTGATGCTGCCCTACTATTACCACACTGGCATCCAGAAGCGGTGGGACAGTGGCTCGGTGCCCATCTGGATCACAGCCCAGAGACAGGTAATGCAGCCCCTCCCACAGGGACAGAGGGGCTGGGGGCAGAGGGATGTGGGGACCTGGTCCCATGAGGCCATGATCACACAAGATCCACGGTGGGCCCATGCCCACCCTGCAGTACCAGGGTTCCTGATACCCTGACAGAGAAGAGTGTTAAATGAGGACCTGGTGTGTGGGCGGGGGCGAGGGGCGTGCTGCTGACAAGGACTGGGCAGTCAGCTATCTCCTGGCTCGGCCTCTGGTCCTCCGTGGAGCCGTGGGTTCAGAAGGAATTTCTCTGCTCTCTCAAAAGAGGGAACGCCACACCCTTGGGTCCTCCAGCACGGGGGAATGGGTCACGCTGGGATGATAACTGAGATTCAACAAGAAGGCATTAAGCAATAAAATGGCTTTACCTCTCTGTCTCACACCCCTCTCAGGGCTGGACAACTGAGTTCTAAAGGGCCAAAGATTCATGGGGGAGTGGGTAGCGGGGGTGTTGAGCCCAGGAATCCTACAGGTTTGCAAGGCTTCAGGGCCCAAGGTGAGGCTTCTAGCCAGTGGAGTCAAATGGAGGTTTCCAAGCGACATTTGACCAACATATGCACTCAAGTGTGAGCCACTGTCTCCGCTCCTGCCTGCATAGACGCTCAGTGCTCCTTCACGGGCTCAGGAGCAGAGAGCCAAAGCTGAGAACTTGGCACCTTCATGGTGCCCGATCCCCAGGAGAGAATAGCTGTGCAGACAGAGGGTTGGAAGGTCAGACGTGAAGCAGCAGTGATTTATGGGAAGATGGATGACCCAGTTGAAGGCTGGAGGGCAGGTGGAGGGGACAAGGTGGACATAGGAGAGAACAGGGGGAGGCTGGGCTGTGGGCTGAAGGGAGAGCTCTCTGGGCAGGGAAGCAGAGCCAGAAGGACGGTGAGGGCACAGCACGTCCACGGACACTTTATATCCATTGTCTCATTTAGTGCTTGAGCACACCGGGCACTTGTTCTGTCCCCCAGAAATTGGTTTTGCCCTGAAAATGTGAAATAAGGGCAATTTCAGAGAGTGAAAAGCCGAAGGCAGGAGCAAGGCTGAGTGAGCAGACCAGATGTGGGGGACAAGCAGGAGCAGCAGCGAGGAGTCCGGTGGCTGTTAACACTGCTTCATGCCTGCAGGGCTTAAAGACCGGCTCCTACTTCTACCCCGGTGGGAATGTCACCTACCAAGGAGAGGCCGTGACACTGAGCCAGAAGGAAGGTGCCCTGCACAACTACAAAGACGAGAAGGAGCGGAGGGAAAATGTGGACACAGTGATGAAATGGTTCATGCAGGAGGACTTGGCTCTGGTCACTCTCTACTTTGGGGAGCCAGACTCCACGGGCCACAGGTATGGCCCTGAGTCCCCAGAGAGGAAGGAGATGGTGAAACAGGTGGACAGGACTGTGGGCTACAGCCTCGACCTGATCATCACATCTGACCATGGCATGACAACCGTCAACAAGAAAGCCAGCGACCTAGTTGAGTTCCACAAGTTCCCCAGCTTCACCTTCCAGGACATCGAGTTTGAGCTCCTGGACTATGGGCCAAATGGCGTGTGGATCCCCAAGGAAGGGAAGATGGAGGTGGTGTACAGTGTCTTTGAGGATATTCGCCCCAGGCTGCACGTCTACAAGAAGGAGTTCCCCAAGACCTTCCACTGCGCCAGCAACCCCAGGATCACGCCCTTGCTCCTGCACAGTGACCTCGGCTATGTCATCCACGGGGTAAGTCCCTTGCTGGACGCATGGCTCAGAGCAGGTGGGTTTCTTCTCATTTATATAAACCCTACCCCATTCTTCTTCTTGTTGCGGGATTGGTGGTTGAACTCAGGACTTCGAGCTTACAGAGCAGGCGCTCTACTGCTTGAGCCACTCCCCCAGTCCATTTTGCTCTGGTTATTTTTTGGAGATGGATCTCATGAACTGTTTTCCTGGGCTGTCCTCAAACTCCAATCCTCCCATCTCATCCTCCCAAGTAGGTAGGATTATAGGCGTGAGCCACTGGCACCTGGTTTGAACACACTATCTTGTTTCTATAGGAGCCAGTGTGCATGTGTGTGTGTGTCCTTAGGGTAAAGGGTGGGCAGTCCAGCCACAAGGGTGACACAGAGCTCAGGGGATGATGAACAGGAAGTAGTGGCTCTTCCTTGAGGGAGAGGAAGAGACCTCTGGGAGCAAGCATCCCTGATGTCTCCATCCCTGTTGACTTAGGGTTCCCATTTATTTTACCAGCTATTTGCCAAGGCTGTCTTTGGGGTGATGATCTTTGAGTCTCAGAGAAACTGAGAAACCCTCCCATTCCCAAATCAAATCTCTCCCTGAGCACCAACATGCTGGAGGAGAGGGGAAGGGGTTCATGGAGAGTAGTGACCCCAGCAAAGACCTGGGTCCCTTGCCTCTTCCTACAGAGAATAAGTGTGCAGTTCAACAACGGCGAGCACGGCTTTGACAACAATGACACGGACATGAAGACCATCTTCCGGGCTGTGGGCCCCAGCTTCAAGGCGGGCCTGGAGGTGGAGCCCTTCGAGAGTGTCCATGTATATGAGCTCATGTGCCAGCTACTGGGCATCGTGCCTGAGGCCAACGATGGGCACCCTGACACCCTGCGGCCCATGCTTCGCTCAGGGGAGGAAGGCGTCCCCTCTCCTCCTGCCCCTGCTGGTGTGTGTGCCTGCATGCTCGTGACCTGGGCACCCTGCAAGCCCCCAGGGTGTTCTTGAGAGAGCAAGTCCAGGGACTGCTAGGGAGCTCCTGAAGGAGCTGGGTGAAATGCCCCCTCCGTCCCTCACTGGACTTTCTGGCTTCCCTTAGGGTCTGCTGTCCTGCCAAACTGCCGGCTGCCCTTGGTGATGGCACTGCTGGGAGTCCTGGTTCTTCTGGCCAAGATCGAATAGTCCCACAGCTCAAGACCAAGGTCAGAGGCTGGAAAGGCAGAGGAAGGGAGGGTGAGGCTGTGCTCCCTGCTCTCAGTCTGACACACACACACCCAGTGCACCTCAGCAGTCAGAACAGAGCTACTGGACCCTGCCCAGCTAGTGACTCCAACCAACCTGGCTGCCAGAGAGGAACCACTCCTGGGGACCCTTTCAGCTACTCTGCTTTAGGCTTGGACATATTTCCTAAGCAGATGTCCAGCAGAGTCTTGGCAATGCCACCCTGCCCCAGAAGCCAGAACCTCCCCAGAGCTACCCCACTTCCTGACACGTCTCCACTCCACAGAAAGGATTCAGCCTTCGAGTCAGTTATGTTTGGGAGAAGAACTTCAGGGGCACCCTCCCTCCATCTGAGGGAGCCAAGTGGCAGTGCCACCTTGTTTCTCTGTCCTGTGCACTCAGAGGCAGGAGAAAGTCACTCATTCCTCCTAGAAATACAGAACAGGAGCCAGCACATTCCAGGTTCTGGTCTGGGGCCAGGGTGCACAGTGACCAGAACAGTCCAGGCCCTGGGGTTTGTGACTGATGGGCCACAGAAGGCAGATAACAGGAAGTGAATGAACCCATACACAAGACAGCAAGACAGAGGTGCTGGCAGAGGGAAGACACCCACAGGCAAGGGCAGGTGGGGGCTTCTTTTTAGGTCATCTGATCTGAACCAGCCTCTCTGAGGAGGTGGACCTGGGGCAAGAGCTGAGCAACAGGAAGAAATGAGCCACGCCAAATATGGGGTGGGGGAGAGACTCCAGCCAAGGGGAGGAAAGACCCCCAGGTTAGTAGCTCCCAGAAGAGAAGGCAGGCAGCATGTTGGGGGCTCTGTGCAAGGTGGACACAGCACGAACTGCCTCAGTCCAAGTAGGGAGGGGGCTTTCTGCACAGTAAGGAGCCTCCTGGGATGGTCACAGGGGATGTAGCAGCCTCTGGTAGATGATTAAATGACAGTCTGCAAGGGGTGGTGACACAGGAAAGGAAGCCATCAGTGTAGTAGCCTGTGAGGAGGTCACTGCAAGGGTCCAGGCAGGCATTCTGTGGTGGATGAGGGGTGGAAGAAATGCAGAAGGTGACTGGGGACACTCAGGACAAATGAAGAGTGGCCTGGGGTTCAGTCCCGTGGCCGGCAGAGTCACTCACCTAGATGTGAAAATGTAGGGGAGGGGCAGGAGCCAGGGAATCCAGGTCTAGATTTGCCCTCAATCTGTCTTCCACACCCATGAGGTGGCCACATGGGGCTGTGGCAGGGCAGGGCTTGTACCAGAAGCCTGGCACCCAGCATGTGGCCTGGGCTGGCAGCTTACACTATGTGATAGCATTTTAGGCTGTGGGACCAGATGAGAGCCCTGGCCAGAGGGCAAAGATGGAGGGCTAGATGACCACACTGCTCATTGAGAAGGGGTGGCCAGCTTGGCAGGTGGGGAGGGAGATATGGGAGGGGTGTAGAGATGGTGTGGCTGGAAGGCTTTCACAGCCAAATGTTAGAGCTAGAGGGACCCCTCAGACAATTTTGCCCATGCTCTCATGCAGGTGAGGACACCAAACCCGGCTCTGTTAGCTGACTGGTCTCAGAGCTCCAAAAAGTGACAGAGCTGTGTCTAAATGCTGGGTTTTCAGTCCCTGGTCCTGAGTACTTTCAGACACAGCACCAGCCCCTCAGTGCATCCAGAAGTTCAGGCACACGAAGCGAGTCTTCCACACAGAGCAGGGATGCACAGCGGTCTCTGTAGTGCTGCAGTCCACCCAACAGGCACGTGACTGGCTATTCTCCCTGCATACCAAGAAGTGGTCTCAGCAATGCCAGTGCCCACAGGCAAGCAAGGTGATGCAAGACAGGGAAAAATCACAGGGCTACACACACACTCTCAGAGGGCTTACACACACACACACACCAGGGATAGCCACAGGGCACACTAGCAAACTTGCTCTCCAAAAAAAACCAAAAAGCCCTGATTTGTAATGTCTGCCATTCCTGCGGTGTAAATTCTCCCACCACACCACGGCTGCACACAACCCTGAGAGGCAGCACAGAGCTGGCTTTCAGGAGAATGTCAGTGGCTGTCATGCAAAGAGCTGTGATTACCCAGTCCACACGTAGAGTACCCAGCCCAGCAGGGAGATCAGTTTGGGACTATGGTGGCCATCCCATGGCCAATTTCTGCCTCCAAATACAGTACCTGCAATACTTGCCACAGTCAAAGCAACCGTCATCTTTGCACACGCAGTCCTTGGCTGCCACCTGGCAGAGTCCTCCTCACTCTTACAGAAGAGCAGGCAGAAGATGGGGGAGGACTCAGGAGCCAGGCCTGAGAAAGTGCCCCTCCCCACCCAAGCCCCAGAAAAGGTCTAGAACCTCCCCAACCATTCCTCCACCCTCCACACACCCACCCGTACCCACTTGAGTCCTCCCAGTTGGGAGCCAGAATTCCCAGGGGGTACTCCAGGCCTCTGCTTCATCACCATCAGACCCACCTCACCCTGCCCCATGCTTTCCCCAGCCCAATGTTTGACACCTGTTCTTCCAGGAAGCTTTTGGGAAGCTGTCTGCAGACCCTGAGCCACCTCTGCAGCCCTGATGGTTTACTAGACACCAACGGACTCTTCAAAGACCATATCCCCCATGCCTGGTGATGATGGCACTAGCAATGAGCCCTCCTGCCCAGGATCACCACCACTCTCTGGAACTCCACCCCTCCCTCCAGCAAAACCCGCCAGGGAAGAGGCACTGCTGTCTGCCGCCACGCAGGGGCACGCGAGAGCCCCGCCAGACGCAGCCCCTAAGGGGAAGGGGACTGGTCTATGGAGGGTGATTGCAGTGGCGCCCCTGGGACCCCCTGCAGCCTCAAGCTTCCGGCCTCAGCCACAAGAGGGCACTGCCCAACAAAGCAATCACAGAAACGAGGGACTAGTCCAGTCACTGTCCCATAGACTTTGGACAGTGGCCGTAGCCAACATGGAAGGATGGGGAAGGGGTGGACTTTGTTCCCAAAGGGCCGCTGGTTTCCTTACAGTCCTCCAACTGCTCCAATGTGTAATAAATCGCTAATTCCTTAAGGCAGCTGACAAACACGGCACCCGATTCATTCTTGCTGGGGGTGGGCCCCTCTGGATGGCTAGCCGGTACAAGGGTAGGCTTTGCATTAAAAAGAAGGGGAAGGGAATGAGGGGCTCTTTGTGCACTCACAGGGAACCAGTGTTGTCTGTAAGCCACAGTGCTCAGCATAAACATACAAGATGGAAACTGCAAATAAAGTGGTGTTGACTGATGCTGGGTGCAGGGCTGGGTGGCCAGGGCCAGGGCAGGAGAGCCTTCAGTACTGTGCATTGAGAACTGTCTTTCAGGAGCGTGGGCTTTGGGGGCAGGCAAACCTGTGCCAGTCCTGGCCGCCCACCAGGAGCTGTGTCACTGTGCAATGTAGGGCCCCCTCCTGCCCTGACCTCTCATCTTTGGAACAATAAGGAGTGTGCATTACTCCCGGGTGACACACGGTCCCCCAAGAGGGCAGCACCAGGAATGGCAGCCTCGGGATGACCATGGTCCTGCTACAGGAGTAATAAGTATGTCACACGATGCTCTCCAGAGAGTAACTCCAACTGTGACCATGCCAGGCACAGTATTTGCAGTGAGGTTTTGGCAAGGTGGGACATTTTCCCCTCCTGGGTCGGGGGAGGGGGTCTCACACCTCTGCCTGGACTTCAGCTCCACCATCCCCAGATCCAACCCAAGCTGCACACACAGCTGCCTGACCGGCTGCCGGACCTGGGGTCTTGCCTCTGTCTGAAAGGACTGGACTTGGGTTGTGGGTTCCTGACCCCACATCCAAGAAGGCTTCCTGGAAGAACTGGCCAACCCCACGCCTGCTGCCACACCCGCCCCCCCAGGCAGCCTGCTGGCCTGCATGGTATGCCCTGCCTACAGAGGCCAGCTCCAATCTCAGATTTCCTGAGCCTGGAGACCAGGCAGAGTCCACAGCCACAATCAACGCATGGGGAGTACTCCTGGGGGCCAACATAGCCACTTGGCTCCCAGTTCAAAGCAACACACATTTCTTGAACCCCTCAATTACCGCACTTGTTTGTCCAGCCCCATTAGTCTGCTTTCCAGGGACAGAGCCAGCAGGTACTTGAGAACTGATCTTGGATTTAGCAAACAGAAAAAGAAAAAACCAAGAGAGGAACACAATCTGCCCACCATGCAGCATTCCTCACTCCATGAGGCTCCAGGGCTCCTCCCCAAGGCTGCCTGTGTGCTCGGGCCTAAGGCAGGGCTGCACGCCGGGGCTGGGTGTCCTGTCTGTACAGCTCAGGGCGTGGAATGTGTGTGGTTGTACCACCTCAAGCTCTGGTTCAAGTCCAGCTCTCACATGCCAGTACTCACCAGCTCTGTGCCCCTGGGCAAGTTATCAACCTCTCTGGGCCTTACTTATCTTGTGGACTAGAGGTGTGGCTCAAGCAGTAGGGCATCTGCTCTGCAAGTGTGAAGCCCTGAGTTCAAAGCCCAGTCTCACTCCCACCCTGCTAAAAAAGTATAGCTCTCCTCATCTATAAAATTAGGAACCATAGCTGACAAAGGTAGTATATACTTGTACTCCCAGCATCTGGGAGAAGAAGTTGGTTCACAAATTCCAGACCAGCCTGGGCTACCTGGCAGGACACTGTCTCAAAAAAAAAAAAAAAAAAATTCAGGAACCACAGCAGTACCTGCCTCCTAGGATGGCCAAATATTTGCAAGCTGTTTATAATGGCTCAGCTCAGTCATGTGACAGCACCAGAATGAAGGCTCCAGGCCACAGGCGTTGAATTTGCCTGAAGCCTTCAATGTTTGATTACTGCTACTGGTTTTCCATTTGTGTCCATCATTTGATATTTTTCCTTTTAAAGTAAACAAGTAACAAAGAATGAGTTGGTTTAAAGAAAAATGCTGACTGAATAATAGTGCAGGTGACTAGTGGACACGCCAGAAGGTGGGT